TAAACTTATAAAATTAAAAAAAAAAAAAAACTTATTTGTATAGATTATGAGTGAATTGATTCACCTAATTATGAGTTAATAAAGAATTTACATATTCATAATCGAATTTGTAACTTTCATGTGCGAGAATCTTGCTTCAGCCACTTAATTAGCCACTCTCGGAATATAATTACCATTTTCATTTGATGAAGAAATTGTTTTGTTGAATATGGTTAACAATCACTAAATCCTCAAATCAAAGCACTCTTGTTTATGAATTCCCTACTACTCTCATAGGAGTCATAGGGATCTGACATCCAATCTTTTGTTGGTTTATATGATGTTATTCCTATTATTGTTTTTCTTCAATCGCAAGAAATTAAATTGTTTAGAAAATGATCATTAATGTAGGTAGCAATATATAGTTACTATAACCCTTTAGTACTAACACTAAAATTTGATTCTGAAGATAACCTCATAACCTTGCCTCTAAATTCTTCTTATTTCGCTTAAAAAGAATCATTTTATCTTCATCAACATTTCATTATATTTTATTGTTTATTATTGAAGAGATAATATCCCAATCCCAGTTAATTAAAAAGCCAAATATAAATTTGGAATCATGAAATATATCCAGTCAAACTAGTAATTATAAAATCACTAATATCGACCCTTGTGGAGTATTACTCCACAATTATACCACCATTATATCTACCATAAATCACCATTATTTACCATTATTCAACCATGAAAGCTCATAAGTCATTACCCTCTATTATCCACCTTAATAGTCATTATATCATCACAACTATTCATTTAGTACCATGCATAAATGTCCAACATGCTCCAAAACATGGTATAATTCCCATAGGTTTAGCCTAAAATGCTCGTAATTTTGATGACATTGATTTTCACGCAAGTTAAAACGTACTCATGTGTCTTGTTTACTTTAATTTAAAAATTTTCTTTTTTACAAATGCATATAAAATTATAAACAGTTAAACATCAATCTCGAATCAAATTAGTTCCATCAATTATTATTATTATTATTATTATTTAAATCTTTTAGTTTGCTTTCTTACTAATTCTACATTGAATTGTTTTTCAGTTTTTAATAAAATTTAAAAGTAATACTTCATTAAAAAAATTAACAAAATAAAATCGCCTGCAAAAAAAATATAAAATAAAATTGCCACTTGAAATAATTTTATTTGGCTTTGTACGCTTACAAATTCATTGATAATGTGTTTCATGTTAAAAAAACATCACGATATATTTATATTATATTCAACTTTAATTTGTTTAAAATTTTCCCTTTTTTAGACGCAGTGACTACATTTGGCAATTAACGTAACTTATTCTCATTGTAAAGACAAAAAAAAAAAAAAAAAAAAAAAAAAAAAAAAAAAAAAAAAAAAGAGGAACATACACATGGATTGGTCCTCGCGTTAAATTATGTCCGTCCATTATACTATATGTATTATTGTCGTTAGCTTTGTTTTTAAATCAATGCCTATTGTATGCTTTATTGTTAGAACATGGCCATCGCTAGGTGCCTAAGTTCCAAGGTGGTCCAATTCTTTTTCATACTTTAAAAACTTTTTTTTTTTTTTCATATGATGAAAATGGAATATTACTATTAGAATTTAAAATATATTATCCGAAGAAGAAGAAAAAAAAGCATAACTTTTATTCAAATTCTACAAATTAATATTTACCTCTTGATAACATTAAAAAGTATATTTATATGTACGTCCTTTATTTGAAAATCTATAAGAGTGTTTCGTTTCTTGTGCTTGTATTTTTCAAAAATAATATTTTTTTTGTATTATATCCTTACAAATGGAAAATTACGTTTTTTTGTCGCTAAGGTATATGGTAATTGTAGAATTCGTCATTAAGTGTTCGTCATATTCACTTTTTGTATCTTTACTAATAAAACATTAGGGACGAAATTTACAATTTTAGTATAACTCAGGAACTAAAGGTGAGCACAAAAAGTGTAACGCCAATGATAACTTAAGGACGAAGAGTGAGCGCGCATGACCAAAAGGGTTGATATGTGTAGTATTATCTAGTTTTTTTTTTTTTTTTTAACAGATTTTTTATTTGAATTGGAACGATGTTATGAACAATTAATTAAGTTGTGAGAATATTTTTTTAAAAAAAAAATTATATATCATATTTAATTTGTTGCATAAGCAAAGATATATGTGGCCCACAAAATTTAATTTTTATAGAATTAAAAAAAAAACATTATTTCTTCCACTTGATTATATAATTCAATGCTAAAGTATTATAAAGATTGAAGAAGCTAAGAGTGTCCATTTCAGGCTCCCAGCAGGGCAAGAATGTTGACATTTGACACGGACTTCAGCTTCATAAATTCAATTGCTAATTTTTATTCTATTTTGTCCGATATGATATAACAATATAATACTTTCAAAAAAAAAAATATAACAATATAATAAATTAATGTGTACTATAAATTATAAATAATTTAAACCAAATTTTAATAATTGAACGAGACCTATAAAATGAAATAAAGGAATTAAAAGGACTGGGAAATGAGATTATAACAAAATTAAATGAAGCAAATTTACAATTGTCAAGATTACAAAATCTAAAGAACGATTAATTACTACGGAGGACTTAACTTATTTAAATTTGTTAAAATTAAAATGATAAAAGTGATTAAAAATAATGGTAGGATAATTTTATGAGAAAAATATCCAATTAAGCGGTTACTTGGACCCACCGTGCCACGCTGGGTACTCCTTGGTTTACTGCAAAAACCATGTAATACCCCGGCGGTGCCACGTTGCCATTCGGCGGCGCCGTGCAGCATATCTTGTATTTACCGGCGCCGTCGGGGATAGCACTTGACACCGCCGCCTTAACCAGTCGCTGTCCTTGAGAGAACGAGTGGGTCGCGAATGGTGCGCTCGCGAAATTCACCTCCACGATACCGACCACCGGCAGCTCGACCGTCACAATTGCCTCGAATTGCTCTCCGTACGCCACCTTCTCCGGTAAGTCCACCAGAACGGGCCGTAAATTCGCCCTGTCGGTCGACAAATACTCCGGCGAGAACGCTTCAATTCTTAACTCCGTCGGGAAGTCGCCTTTGAACGTGTAGAACACGTGCGGGTTGCTTCCGGCGAGCAAGATCCTACCGTCGGGTAACAAGTTGGCGGTGGAGTGGTACATCCGGGGCACCGTACCCGGATTCAGAGTCATAAACCGGAGCCCCACGGGTTCCTCGGGTCGGTATAGAACTGGGTGCAAAACCGGGTTAGAAGCCATCCCGAAACCTTGGGTACCTGTTTGTGCACCGTTGATGATCATGACATCTCCGGTGGGGAGCATTACCATGTCCCCCATGACCCTCGGGAACGGCATATCCTCCATTTCCCAAACCGGGTCCGACCCGGTAGCCTCGATCCGACCGCAGCTTGTATGGGCCGGACTATCCGTAACATGCTGTAAATACGCACCGTATTCCGCTCCGCCGCAGATTACAATGGAAGCGGAAGAATAATCCCCTGTAAGCGCGAGCATCACCGACGACCCGGCGGAGGGATAGTTCCGGGGGCCGCCGTCTAGCACCGGAAAATCTCTGACGAATACATTCTTTATATAATCATACATTACCGCCTTAGTGTTGGCGAAGATGAAAAGATGGCCGTTGGGAAGTAAGTGAACGTAAGGGTAAAGATTGTCCATTTGATTATCTTCAACTTCACCGAGGAAAGGCAATGGAACGGCGCCGTTTCCCGGAGGAAAAAACTCAACGCTGTGGGCCGCCCTGCCGCCGACGATGATGACACGGCCGTCGGGGAGTATTTGATTAGTAGCATACCACCTGTGAGAATGAGAACTGAATGTGTTCATTCATCATCTAAAAAAGAGAATAAATAGAGAACAATCACACAAAAAGAAAACTAGTTACACAATACTAAAAGCTAGATAAAATAGGTAAAAGACTAACTAACACAAACTAAGTCTCAACACACCTTCCTTCCGCGAGCTGTACGTGTTGGAGCTCCACCCAATCGCATAGCTCCGAGGCATTACAGGGAAAGAACTTCCGGAACTTCCGGAAGCCCTCGAGGTCGCCGCCGGTCTGGAGGAGGGTGCCGTCGGGGAGGAACTGGCCGGAGGAGCACCAGGTGTCGGTGAGGATTTCGAGGGGGCGGATAGCGTTGGTTTTGAGGTCGAGGAGGGCGGAGTGGGCATAACAGTCTTTTTTCAGAATGGGTTCGTTGGGGTCGTTGCGGCAACGGTGGCCGGGGAGGAGGATCTTGGAAGGGCCGATGTTGGTGCGGTCGAGGAGGACGACGGTGTTGTAGTGGGTGACGGCGGTGTGCATGGAGGCAATGCCGGCGTTGGGGACAAGGAGCTCCCAAGTGCCGGGGAGGGTGCCACGTGCTGGACATGTGACAAAGTGGATAACATAGATGAGGACCAGAAGAACAAACTTAGAAACACAAATCATGGTTGTGTCAGAGGATCTGTCTGCTCTGCTCTGTTATGGTACTTCACAGAATCATATGCTTTATAATGGATAGGGGACCATAATACTATGTATTCACTTCAACTCTTCAAGACAAACTTTTACTATGTAATTCCCAAATAGTTATTACTAAAATATTTTTTGAATTCCATCAACTTTACACCCTAATTCATGTGTTTATCATTCTTACCAAAATATTGAATCCCCAACTTCAAATGTCCTACACACCTTATATTGACAAAATATTTGAAAAATTATAACTGAATCGGCTAGACCTTTGAAAGTATGACTCACTTTTAAGAGTGAGAAAATATTATTGAATAAAGATAACATTAGTCAATTTTAGTGTTGCATATATTATATTTAGAAATTTATTTTTTTTAAAAGAAAGAAAAATAGTCTAACATTTGACAAATTATTGACTTTAGGTTTCTGAAATTTTTTTAAAAACTTAAAGTAATCTTAACTTTACCAGTCATAAACTCACATCACACATGTTTGATGCCCTCTAATTATGACCTTTTAATTAATCCAAGAACTAACCATGCTAAATACAGGAGCTTCTGAGATTTGATTTAATTTTAGAGAAAGCTAACACCCCATACAATTATATATATACTCAATACAATATAAGTAAGCTAAGGATTTTTTATTATGAAGTGATTAAGTTAGACCATTGCGTCACGGCCACCATCATCATCGCAATCGGCCACCGCCATTGTCGTCTTGCTCTGCACATTCTTGTAAGTATAATTCCTCGCCACCAACACGTAAACGCACAAATTCGCCGCCGTGATGCCTCCCAACAGCCAGTAAAAGTAGTCCAGCCGGCTACTGTTCAGGTCCTTCCCGAACCAGCTCCGCCCACTCCTCGCCGTGGCGCGGTCCACCGCCGTGATCAGCAGGCTGCTGAGGAAATTCGCCGCCCCACTGACGCTGAGATAGAACGCAATGCCCAGGCTTCGCATAGAGTCCGGGACTTGGTCGTAGAAGTACTCTTGTAACCCCACCAGCGTGAACCCGTCTCCGATTCCGATGATCAGAAACTGCGGCGCCAGCCAGAAGACGCTCATGGAGTCCGAGGTTGTGTTTTCTTGGACGAAATTTAGTCTCTTTTTTTCCACCAGTGCCGCGACGGCCATGGTGGTGACGGAGAATATCATCCCGATCCCGATTCTCTGGAGGATGGTGAGCCCCCGCTCGTTCCCCGTCGCTTTTCTCAGTACGGGTACGAGGATTCTGTCGTAGATTGTGACGGAAACGATCATTCCGATGGCTGCCAGCGAGTAAATCGTCGCCGGCGGGATCTCGAAGCCGTTGATGATCTTCCGGTCCAACGTCGCACCTTGCTTGATGAAGAACGTCGCGCCTTGAGCCACGCACATACCAAACGGCAGAGTGGTTAGCCAAATGGGAACCATATTGATCACCAGCTTCATCTCCTCCACTTTCGTCACGGTTGCTAGCCGCCATGGATTAGATGAATTCCCACCTTTCTCTTCTACAATTGCAGCTTTGTCAAAAAACCTTAAAACCCAAACACAAAACGTTAACCAAATGATTGAACGATGGCAACTAGGAAAAAGGAAAACACTGCTTAAAATTATGGAATTCCGACCACCTGAAAGTGGTCGGAACAAGACTTTCGAGATTATTTTCAGTGGTCGAAAATTCAATAATTTCCAGCAGCAGAATGAGACAAGAATCTTGTTTAGTACTTGAGTTTTCTGGTGTGACAGAGAAGCCTCCCCCGGGCATATTCTGATTTGGGGACTTCATATAACTGACCAGGATTAGAAGGGCAATCAAGATTCCTCTTTCTAATCGCAGCTACAAGCACCTGCAACAATGGCGTGAAGGGGCTCCCAGCAGCCTTCCTGAACCGGTAAACCGGCCTGCCAACACAGAAGATCACTATACTAAACCCCATTACACCACTGAGAATCACGTCTGCTAAAGCCCAGCTAACATGATCTTGCACGTAAACTATCAACGTCACACCAATCAATAAGCCCGAGCACAGCCCAAAGTTCCACCAATTGAAGAAAGACATTTTCTTCTTTCTCTCTTCCGCGTGATCATCATCAAACTGATCAGCTCCAAAGCTCTCCAGTGATGGCTTGTGCCCTCCTGTCCCAACTGATATCAAGTAAATCGCCAGGAAGAATACGGTTTCGTGCACCTTTCCTCGTCCACCACAAACATCACCTTCACATGGCTTCAAGCTTGGGATTACCCTTGACATTGTCAAAAGAAGCAAGCCCTAAAACAACAAAAACAGTAAATAAATGTGTTTTTGTTTAAGAATCACCGCAAAGTGATCTTAAATCCAAGTTGAAACTAAAAAGTGGTCGGAAATAGCAACAAAGGTTTATCCGGATACCAAAAGTGGTCGGAACAAGGCTTTCGACTTGAGATCACTTTCAGGTGGTTGGAAATTCCATGATTTCCAGTTGTGAATGTATATATATGTTGCGGTCATAGTCAAAGAACTAAAGAATCGGGGGCAACTCAACCAAGTTTGTCAAACTATTGATCTGAGCCGGGGCAAAGCTGATTTACTTTCTTGTAATCATTTGCCAGCTAGGACCAGAAAACGGGGTTTAAAAGAAATTAAGATTACCAGGAGGTAGACAATGGAGGAAGCAAGAACAGTCGAGAATCGGCCTAAGCATGCATCAGCTAAGAACCCTCCAAACAGAGGCATCAGAGTGGTAACACCGGTCCAATAATTCACATTCTTGGCTGCTGTTTTCAGATCTTGATGGATAATCTTGGTCAGGTATATGATCAAACTTGATGCTATCCCGAAATAACTCAAACGCTCCGCGAATTCAATCACTGCAAGCAACAAATTCAACAGACAGTTAGTTAGTTGCCATATCATTCATTCCATTTGAATGAACATAAATCAAGAACAAAGTAGTAGCAGTATTCTGGAATCATTAAGGTGCTACACTTTTTGTAAAGTTTGCATATTGCTCCACCTAGTAACATTTTCAACCATATCTTATAATATATTAATTAGTATATAATCCCCACTTCCAGTTACTTTAACTGAGACAGATAATACTTTCCAGATTTCCCTACTTTTACACACATATTTGATCTTATCTAAGCAGAGCATATATATCAGCATTAAATTGTTCTTGTTTTGCCCTGAAACTAAAAAAGCTCAAAACTTTTGGATATGAAACTTTTTAGCCCTTACCAATGATGAAAAGAGAGGCCTTCCAGACACCAGTGGAGGCACGAAGAGGAACTCTGCCTTTATGATCAAGGGAAGAATCACAAACCCATTTTTGGTTATCAATTTCGCCTTCTTCTTCTCCCGTCTGCCCACGCTTCATCTCTGCAGTAGTCTTATCCATGATGTTTGAAGTAGTACAAGGTAGTAGCAGAGAATGAGGATATGATATGTGTTTTTTCTGGGAATACTAAATGGTTTTTAGGTGGGTGTGTAGTAAACGGTTTACTGGTGGTGGTTGAAGCTGTGTGGTTGGGTGTTCTTATATAGGGGAAAGAATAAGGAATCCATTTAGTCCACTACAGCAATTAAAGTTTGAATTCACAAGATTTTGTTTGGTTGGGCACAAGAATTGTGAGCAAATTAACAAAAAACTATTTTCTTGACAATGATTGGGATAGAGAAAAAGTTGTGATTCCTTTCATTAGAGTGGCCCTTGGTCCGTAGTATGAGGAGAATATAGCATCCATTCACAAAATTACATCCCACTTTTTATTTTTAATTTCAGTTCATTATCAACGAAGTTGCCATATAATGGTCCTAAAAACAATACATAGCCATATAATGGTCCTAAAAACAGACCATGGGGTGTTTAGTAAATAGAAGTTAATTAGCATTAGTTGTTAACTGATTGGGTTAGTGAGTTTGAGTAGTTGATAGCATTAGCTAATTATAAAAATATATTTGGTAAATTTTCATGTAATTCTCCACTCCAATATTTAATATAGGAATGACAATGGAACTAGTAGTATAGGTTTGAATTAAGGTGTACATACGTACTTAAATTCACCCAGACCCATCATACCTCATAATGTAATTTTTAACATTCACTCCTATTACGAGTATAATTTTTACATCTAAATCCAACTCATACGTGGCTAGTATGCCTAAAAGGAAAGGACTAATTAGACAACTTAAGTATTGGTAATTGATTGTAAATGTTTCATTTCTTAGACTTTTTAGAATAATATATATATATATATACACACACACATACGGTCTTTTGTATCGTAAAGATATGATCGAACTATTATATAATATTTTTGTTTTCTGATCCGTAGACAGGTAGACATTTTTCTTTGGAGTCTTAACATGCTCAAATTGTGAATTATTGAAGTCAATACATGCTCGAAAGGTACCTATATGATGTGGTCATATTTAGGGTTGCCGTATTAATGACACATGTAAATTGCCATCATATTCGTGGACCATTTAGCTACATAAGAGCATTCATACCAACACATTTTTGGTGGTTTTTGGAATAGTGCAAGGTGATGCGGAGGGAAGAATTTTTGGAACAGTGCAAGGCCATTTGGAAAGCATCAGCTGTTGGGCGCGTTTTGCGCACAGAAAATGCCCACACAGGCACGTGCAGTGCACGTGTTGCGCGTCAGGCGTGCTGACAATCTGTTTTTTCTTTTTTCTTTTTTCTCTCCACTCCCATATTCTCTTTCCTAATCACACTCACAAAAACTCCTAAAATAATCACCAAAAAAATCCCTATTATGGATGCTCTAAAGGAGTTTAAAAACTCCTTCAACACTGAAGGGTTAAGCCTTCTGCTGCACACATCTGTAGAGAACATTTGCATGGCAAGAAACCTGATCCGATCCCCCCGGCCATTGTCTATAAGAATTTAATTAGATATCCATCAAACCAAATGGTTAATTGTGAACTACATTTTCTTGGCATATATTCCGTGTCGCATGTGATATAGCATAGGATGCATAAGTAACACTACAATAACACGGGCTTTAGACTTTTAGTTTGCTCTGACCAATAATGTGAATAATAGAAGTATAATTTCATATTCCATGAGCACTACAATTGATAGCTAGAGAGGTCAACTTAATTGCTAAGAGTAATACTACTTGTACTCTTATTTTTTACTGTCAACTTATCTAGCCTGTTCTGATTCATTTATTTTAAAAAAAATGTGAGTCACTATTTTTACTCGTTTCTTTCATTTCTATCATACGAAAATTACGATATATGAACAACATGACAGGATAAGAGTTTTACTCCATGAGAGTATATGTCACCTCTAGTCGGAGCTAGCCAGCTAGGTAGGTTAGGTTATTGTATGTGAGATTTGTTTGGAGGAGTAGTAACCATCATATCACTGACAATAAGAACTTGATTCGACTGAAAAGCTAATGCCCACAATGACTGATCCTTAGCTTAGCTTGTATCAATATCACATCCAACTCGTGCAATATAATCTTGGGTCATCGTCGCCAAATTCTTCCTAATCTCATCAACACTTGAGAGCCAATTAACGACTGAGACAACTAACGTTTGCATCATTATATTTTACATGCGACGTTCACACCGGCAATATAATTGCGGCGGCGCTCCCGACCACAAGCATGCAGTTGCGTTGACGCTGTCTTTTTTTAGTGCATATGTTTTTGGTGTCATATACCGTATACGTTTTGGTCTTCGTGCTCGTTTTCCTTGTATGGTCGGAATTCAACTCCCGGGGGGGACTGAAATAGGATTATAGGAATATAATTTTTTTATTTTTTTTCAGTATGGGTATAGCTGTAGAAGATGACCATTCTCTTGTGGGACTTCTGTTCCCGCAGGAATATATGAAATACATGTCTATACTTGTCGTACTAGAATTGCATATATTCTCAAACTATAATTAACGCCTAGGCTTTTCAGGGCGTGAAACATGTGACAATATAATATAATTTGTCCAATCAAGTTGGTCAGTGCAAATTATTCTGTGGACCCGGATTTAAATGTTCACAATTTATCTTTTAAAAATTTACAATTGCTATATTACGAACACACAATGTTAACATATATGTAATTGATTACTTGGTCCATGGACCATGGTATAACATCGTCAAATTGTTAGCTTAATAACCACAATATTCCAACACCTTATTGGCCTTTTTAATTTAAGTCGGTCAACCTAAACTAGTTTAATTACCTCTTAGTGATCCTTCCCAGATAAGGTGGGGTTTCCCTCATTATTCATAAAAGAATATGTTATTAAGTCGGTAAAGCATGACTCCTTTTACCTGTATAGTCATAAGTTTGATTTTTGTCAACATTTTTTTTTTATCAATCGAACTAGTTCCACATGATATTCTTATTAGTGTGATCTTGACTTTGCACTTATTTATTATTTTGTATATTAGTTTATACTCAACGTAGCCGCATAGGTAATCAAACATTTTTTTTTAGGTAAAACACTATAACTCTTGCCGGTGAGTGATGATATCAAGTTTAAATGGTATGTTTTGTTTGCATTAACGTGGCGTTTGGTTGAAGGAATTATAATTCCATTCTCACCTAATTCTCATCTATTTCAAAAGTAAGTAAATTTTTTCTTCTGATTGAATGGAATTGTAATTTCTTTATTTTTATGAAATTAGCAAGAATCCCATGCCCCTTGGTATTTTAAGTCCTTGATTTTTATGAAGAAAAAAAAGATAAATTTGAGACAAAATTACTCATTTTTTAAAACCTAAAAGTGATGTCTAGCCTCCCCATATTAATTGCATGAAAATTAATTACAATATGTTTAGTTCAAGAAATACTATATATATAGGATGAGTGGTATTTGAATATGTTATTTTTGATGTTTGAATATGTAGATGGGTCAAAGATATACTTGTCATTTAATAATAATAATAATTAATAATAATAAGTATAAGCATTTTGAACTTTACACTACTTAATTCTTTTTAATTCTTATGTGTATCAAACATTGGAATTGAAATTTCCATTAATTCTGTTCTTGCAAACCAAACACTGAAATTAAAATTCTTACTTTATTATCACATTATTATTTTTTCATGAAATTGAAATTCATTTTCCTCATAATTTTCTCCCTCCAACCAATTAAGCCTCCCGTAAAAGTTTAAATAGATTCAATAAAAAGAAAAAAAAAACTTTACATTTATTATAAAGATGCAATGTGATGAATACAATCTTGGAGAATCTAACTAACAATCGTATTAAACTTGACTATTTAAGATTCAAATGTGTTATCCATTTTTGTACGATTGAAAACTGAAAATAACTATACATTTATACTGAGTTCTAAATTTATATCATATCATTGAACTGACAAAATTCTTTGATATTGATAATCAATTTGTCATTTCATACCTTTATTAATATTCACATGGCATTTAACAATAATTTCGCAAGTGCGGTCTGACTAAGGAATAAGAAAGCTAGCAGGTTTACTGTAGTTATGGGCCATGCCTTAGCTTTAGCCTTTAATTAATCAACCCTCCTTTCTAATTAAACTCAATTACTCAAACATAATAATTGAAACCGGAGATGGCTAGTGGGATGAGCGTACGAGGAAAATCCACGGTTACTATACTAAGAAGTACATTATGTAACCCTAACTCTTGTATATATAGTCTGTAAACTAAATATAAAAAGTAAATCGTGTTAGAAAGATCTTGTGTAATTGACTTGACTTAGAGAATTTTGGTTTAATGTTTTTTTTAAAATTATTAGTGAAAAGTTAAATATTTTGTGATAATTATATTAAGTTATATTTATATTGTATGACGTGATTAAGAAAATCCTAATTAAGTTGAGTTGGCTATCCAATTTTCGTGTCTCCTGCTCCACCATGCACCCAACTTTATTCACTCATCCAATCACACCAAAATTGATAGATCTGTTATTTAAGACTGCGTATATATTCACATAAAAAATGTCACATTCAAGATTCTGAGAGGTAGGTATGTAACTCAGGATAAGTATCACTCTATATCTTTTGTTGAGGTGGAAAAAAAAATCTCTAAACACGCCCAGCATGACGCGTGCACAAATGTTAACAAGGTAAATTATTTGCACTTGTAAGTGAAATTAGATGTACTTGTAAGCATGGTTGCAGTAGACGCGAGTCGGGCGGTGGAGTAGCGCATAGCGCCTAGACGGCCTAGGCGGGCAACTATGAAGCTTACTAAAAAAGAAAAATGCACGTGTAGGGATGTATATATATATATATATCTCACACACACACACACACACAATGAAAAAAATTAACAAGGTCGCAAACTTAATGGGTTAACTCGGCTAACTCAACCGAAATGGACGAGTTAACTCGACCGAGTTAGGCGCTAGGAAGGCACCTAGGTGGCTGGTCGCCTAGGGGGAAATCGCCAAGGTCTAGAGGCCCCTAGACCGATTTTTGCAACAGTGCTGGTAAGTGATTCAATTTACATGCTGAATGTTCACAATTCAAATTGCGAATATTCAGTATTTAAATCATGTAGGTAAATTGTAAACATTCAATATGTAAATTGTACTCCGTATATTTTTGGACTTAGGTCCACCTTGCACGGTAAACCCGGGTCCATGAAATAATTTGCCAAGTCTTTTTGCTTGGGCTTTTTGGGCCTTCGATTGTTGGGCTTTAATAGTCCATTTAACATGAAACCAACCACATGTCAACTGAAATAACCTAATATTGTCTGCCCTCTTCCATCCCTTTTTAAAAGGTTAAACCCTAGTTTTATTTCGCTCTCCCCAAAACCCTAGTGGTCTTAACACTCGGATTCTCCATTTTCAGCCTAGAAGTCTCCATGGTACTATTCCTTTGCGTTATACTGCTTTGAGTTGATATTTGAATTTTAATTACTTTTCTGTTGCTTGGTGATTATACTCTGCTTCAATTTACACAATTAATGTGTTTTCTGTATAATTGTATTTTCTGTGTATAGGCTACCGAAGTTGTGAACCCAAAAGCATATCCGCTGGCCGATGCGCAGCTCACCACGACAATAATGGACCTGGTTCAGCAAGCTGCCAACTATAAGCAGCTTAAAAAGGGGGCAAATGAAGGTTATTTTCAGTTTTTATGCTTTACTTTATCTTCTTCTTTATTATGCCGGTTTTACAGCTTGATTCTGTATTAAGTTGTAATAGAAATCTGGATTCTTGTGCTTTTCAGCCACTAAGACACTAAACAGGGGAATTTCTGAGTTTATTGTGATGGCGGCTGATACTGAGCCACTTGAAATCCTCCTTCATCTTCCACTTCTTGCTGAGGATAAGGTAAAACTCTCAATCTTTGTAGTTTGTATGTTTGTGAGTTGTGTTCTTGTGTGACATAGTTGAAGATGCAACGTATGCCTTGAGATATCAATTTGTTTGGTGTAGAAGATTCGAATTAGGAGAAAGGAAATATTGGGTTGCATATGAAGCTGGGTTTATATTGAATCCTTGATTGTTGGTTCTTTGTCACACTATAACCTTTTATGAATAAGTAGATTAGATGAAAATTTGAAATTGGCATTCAATGTATCAATCAACAATCTAATAGCTGAGTCATTTAAATATACAGTTTGATTCATAAAATTAAAAAAGGAAAATTGAAATAACATTGTCAATTTTCCAAAGAATTGAGCCAAAGTTTATTCTTGAATCCTGGAACTTATGAAGAAACAGATAAGTATGGCCTGGAATAAAGAAACAAGTATGGCCTTTTAGGTTTTAGTTTATTGGAGTGGCTCTATCTAAGCCACTCTCTTGAGGCATCTGGAGAAAAGAGCCCTGTATAATTCAAGAATGTTATCTACATCGGGAAATTTATTATGATATTTGTTCTTATTTTTGCACATGACTCTTATGATTGAAACATGTTGTTATGATGCTTCTTGTTTGTATGAGAGAAACAGTTTTCTCTGTTGCTATTATATATGATGCTTCTGAAGAATCAGATTCTTCATAAGCAAACCTGGAAAACCAGTGTCTCTTTTGCCTTGGTACCCTACAATTTAAGATATGAGTTATTACTATATGGTCACTCTTCACTGTTTGTCTAAGATATCATGCATAAACAATCTGGTTACTTGTAATTTGATTGTATTCATTCTTTTAGTGGAAGTTGCATGTTCTCTACATAATCGGCTATAACATTTTCTCATCTTTTATGCCATGTCTTCAGAATGTCCCCTATGTGTTTGTCCCTTCCAAACAAGCTCTCGGCAGAGCATGTGGTGTTACCCGACCCGTGATTGCTTGTTCTGTCACAAGCAACGAGGGAAGCCAGTTGAAATCTCAAATACAGCAATTGAAGGTAATTATCTAATTGTGCCTTTATTAAATATAACCACCTGAGGCGACAAATTAAGCCCTGTTCCCTTTTTCTTTGTGGGTGCAGGATGCTATTGAGAAGCTCCTGATATAAATGCCAGAAAGTCATTTCAGCATGATGGGCCTCATGAACACCAGATTAGATTAACTGTGAGGCTTTGACTGACCGAGTTTTCCCATGATGCTATAATGTGTTTGTCTGTTTTATGAATTTCATGTTTGGGCCAAAAAGAAAAGAAAAAAAAATGAGAGAAGAGAGGATAACCTATATATTTGCTCCAGTCATTTTGTATTATTGGCTTGAAGGATTTCATATATATTGTTTTGTACTTTTATCAAGTGTATTGGCTGAAGGTTAGGTATCTCTAGATTCATTCAAATTGACCTGGTGGTTCATTCCACCAATATTAATATATTAAAGATTCTTCTAAGTTTTAAATATATAGGAAAGAGTAATACTTCATATCAATGACCAGCTTATTTATATATTAAAAAAAAAAATGAAGTATTCAAGATAGTACATATCAACCATAAACGATTATGTGATAATGTAATGGCATCCCATTGGTTCATCAATCGCTTGTCAACTTTCACGTTTTTAACAAATATCTTTGAAGAATATAGAAAGGACCATTCGGATGAAAAGTTGGGTGATCCACTTCCAAATATAATGGGATTTTAATCAATAGAACAATGACACTTGTCCATTGAAAAAAATATTATTTTGCAATAGATGTATTTGTAATGCACTAATATGGTAATGTTTAATCAGTCCATGTTCCACTAGTCCACTATCAAAGGCATGAAGGCCCGTTCTCGTTGATATGGAAGTGGTAATTTTTCATCTTCTAAATGACAAAAAATGTTAACCCAAAACAAAAAATAAGTTACCAGATTGTGCTATAAGTGTAGATATGTGTTTAGGTTTCTAGCAATTTTCATTTTAAGTTACATTCTCGGGGAGATAAAAACACCATTTCAATGTAAATTTAGGGACTAAAAGTAGAGATGTCAATATATAATTGAAGTGTTGCGTTCGCGAAATAGGATTAGGTGAGAACAAAGCCATTTAAAAAGTGTAGACTAATGCAAGTCATCGATACAAGATTCTAAGATAATCAACGACTCTAATAAAAAAAGAAAAAAATCAATAGCAATTTAATAAATATTACAAACTTTTAAACACTAAAAGTGCACCGTATAAAACTACAAGATGATATGTAAGCGTGCAACTGTCTTTAGTATACTTTTACATACCATTAGATGCACTTTGTAGTTTTACGTGCGTTACAGATCTTGAATGCAATTTTACATATCAGCAAATACAATTTATAATTTTGTGTTATGTATAATGGTATATCCACACATTTTATAAGAAAACATGTTTTTATCTAGATCAATCCTAGTCCACTATATTCTCAAGAATATATAATTGTGGTTGCGAATGTAAATTACACATAAATTTGTTATACATTCACATGATTCCACGACTTTTAATATCTATTAACCACTTATAAATTCATAAATCTCATCAATAGTCAACCAAACTATCTCAATATTATAAAGTAGTGTACAAAAATTAATGCGCATTTAATATTTCTCATGACTAAATGTTAGATAGTGATATTCATCCCCAATTATAAAGCTAGGGTTTTGTTTGTTTCACGTGAAAATCTACGGGAATCCATATTTTCTCATTTATTTAACACAGTCCAGCTGTATTGAAATTGTAACCTCTAAGCTGGCATGGAATTTAATTAATTGCCAGCAAATATCAATAAATAATTATTGTATATTGTGCTGCATTTGCAATACAAAGTCACCATTGTTTCATTAATTTATGTTTAATTGTATTCATTATAATAACCTCTTTTAAATTCAATTCGTTTGATTATACAAATATCTCGTAAATAATAAGTCTATTATAATAGGTATTGTGATACCGAACATTTAGTTGAAACACAATTTTTACATAGTGATAGTTCTTAAACTATTATTATAACTAATAATTTACCCGCGTGATGCACGCAAAAAAATTATGTTATTATAAATATAAATATAAATAAAAAAATAAAAATATTTTAAATTGTTTAATATAATAATATTTTTGAGCTTCCATTGGTTAAGTATTTATTATTTTTATAGAACACAAAATTGCAATTAAAATTAAAATTAAAATTTTGTATGATTAATATAATCTCTAATTATGTACATATTCAAATAAACTTATAAGAGAATTTACATAATTCCATTGATTTATTCTTAATTGTATTTCATCTATATTATAATTTTCACAATGCGAATAATAACTAAGATAATTACATTTAGAAAGCAAATTTTAAATTTTTTTAGGAGTAAATTTAAACTTTAATTGAACACATTTTTTTTATATGATTATATAATATATTCTTTATATATGCACATGTCATTCCATAAACCCACATGTCATTCTATAAGCCTAAGACCACATTTTGTGGAGATAATTCAAATGTATTTTTTTTCTTTTAAAAGTCCTAAGTTTAGAAATCGAGAAAAAAATTAAAGACCCATACGATATATACATTTATATATTTAAATTTTTATTTATGGCTCAAATGATTTTTTTTTTTAATTCTAAAGTTCAATAATTGACCCCACAGCCCGCATCATTTGTTTTCTTCATCCCTTCTTGCTTTTGCCATTTTTTGAAGCATTTGAGAAGATAGAAAAGTACACTCCACAATCTCTACCTGTAGAAGGTGGTTCTTTAATGTCTAACTCCATTTTTTTCTACCACTTTCCATGATTCTTCTCTTTTGTTTACTACTTTTTTTTTTTTAGGTGTGATTGTTAGAGCCTCCTCTACATTCTACCGTCTTTTGTCTCCTCCGCCGCCATGGCCATGAAAATACACAAATAGTAGGACAAATTGCTGCAGTTTACGCTCACATGGATTTGATCTGGGGTGTCTTATAGGAGAAAAATTATATGTAGAGGCTTGCATTAATTGCACTGTTTCGGATATCGAATATGCTTTCATCGAAAATTTAATTAATATTGTAATCCCAAGAAGCACCATAGATAACAAAAGCATATCAAATAGACTTTCATTGTAAAGCTAGAGATTTAATTAATATTGCATCGTTTCATATTTTTTATTAATCGGGAATCGGAATCCTTAATCATAATATCATAATAGTTAATAACTCCATTAATTCAATAAATGTAATCCTTTGTTATGTGCGAGAAAAAAATAGCTATTTTATTTTTCAAATGTTGTTTTTTTTTTCTTTTTTTCTTTTTATAGTAAAGGATGTTGTGGCTATTTTATAATAATAACTTAATAAGGATAGAGATAATAATTGTAACATTAATTACTTGTCAAACCATATAACTTTATTATAGTTAAGATTCTAATTTATTATAAGGGTGCGTTTGGAAACCCAGAAAATGCCTGGAAAATGTTTTTCGAGTTTTTAGTGTTTGGCCAGAGGGGGGAAAATGAGGTCAATGAAAAATGATGTCTTAATCAAAGGAAATAAGTATGTTTAGGAGAAAATGACTTATTCTTTTTTTTTTTTTTTTTTTTTTTTTGGAAGTCATTTTCCAAGGGATGCACATGCAAAATTTTTCGGACCTAATTTTTTGCGGGCTTTTGCAAGTTGGCCCACCAAACCCGCAGGCTAGGATTCATGTAACCATATTCCGCCCCATGCGGTTGGCGGGCTCCACGGGCCAGTCCGAGAGATTTTTTTAAAAATATTTTATTTTGAATTCAAAGTTCAAAAAATAAGTAAAATCTATAAATAATATTCATTTTTTAGTATTTAAAAATTAAAAAAAGAAGTTACATTTGTTCAAATGTTTATATATATATATATATATATATATATATATATATATATATATATATATATATATATATATATATAAGTGCTATTCACAAAAGGATTTTATATATCAAAAGTATCAAACAATTAAAATTTTGAAGTATTCAATTTTTTTTTTTTTTATTTTCCAACTCATTTTCTAGAAAATGAACCAAATATACAAAGACAGTTTTTCGTTGTGTAGCCAAACACCGGAAAGGAAAATGTTTTCTGAAAAATGACTCATTTTTCAGAAAACATTTTCCATAAATCATTTTCCTGCTTTTCAAACGGAGCCTTAAATGGAAAAAAAAAAAAAAACATTCTAACATTATATATGTATAAGTTAAAAAAAAAAAAGAAAAAAAAAAAAGAAAAGGTTTCCTAGACTACCATAAATTGATTGATTTCACTATTAACTAATAAAAATTAACTAAATAATTAAATATAAAAAACTGATAGAATAATGCCACATTATTAAAGAAAGTATTACGGGACAACCTTGATTAAGTTGTTTAGGTTGTTTATTTGGTAATTATAATATTAAAAATTTAATTCCCAGCAAGATTACAATACCCTATTGAGCCTTTTAGTTTGAGCCTGCCTTTTCTATAACAAAGCTTTTTTGTATTATGTTTGAACCTGGAAACTTAAAAATTTATGATTGTTCTCAATGTAAATTTTGCTTGAGTAATACTGTAAAAAACTTGATTTTCTCTCGTGCTGATTATTTTTTTTAATTTTTTTTTTAAATATTACTGACTTTATTACAAAATGTAAATAGTTTTTTTAGTACCATTGATCGTGGTATCTGTTCATATATATTTTCTCAACCTATTGAAGCCTAACAAGTCAACACCGCCCTTATTGATGCTTGAACCCATAACATCCCATTTGAGAGAGTCACTTCATGCTGCTTGACCACAAGATTTTTTTTTACATTAGAACTAGTTTGTTTCACATGCAATACACAGATAGTAACATATATTTAATATTTATATTATTTATAAAATTTATATAGTGCAAAATAAATAAATAAATTATCAAAATATTATATGACATTCTAATAATCTCTTATTATAACAAAGTATGTATGGTACCTTGTATAAAATTTTCATATGTGGTCAGGATATAGTGATATACTATTCTTGACTAAGTAACTGCAGAGTTTAAAAAATAATTTTTACATACCAAAAATCTCAATTTACTCGGTGAATTTCTCATAAAAGTAATAGAAAAATTTGACACCTTCGTGTATCTCAAAAGTTATGGTTTGATTACCTATGTTACTTAGTAATGGAAATTAGAAACTTTTAAAATAGTGTGTTTCACACGTCTAAAGACGGTAATAAATTGTTCCTTTGTTTGTACTGAGTCTCAAGTTCTTTATACGAGATCCATGTTCCTAACAAGTAATACGCGGGTTATTGAAATACTTTTGGAGATGAATAACCTTGAAATAGGAGACTGGGAAGTGAAAAATAATGTTGTGAAAGTAGTTTTTA